TTTAACGTTTTACAATTATATTAGTGTTCCCTAGGTGGATTATTTGTTTTTATTTATATTTCTTCATTTATTTTGCTTTGTGTTAATATTGTTTCTATTTTGGGTTTGCCTGTACTTGGCAGTTATATTTAAAACTGTACATGTATAAGTTTAGTTAATCTGCTTGTGTACTATTTTTCATTATTATTTCATTATTATTGTATGTATTATCAGTGTTTGCCTGTTATTGACTTCTTGCTGTTCGCAAACACGTAAATAAATTAATTGAATTGAATAAGTTCCTCAAAAGTGAGGGTTTTATTAGAAGAATGGTTACCGTTTCTTCTAAATAACATGCAGGAAAATTAAGTAGCAAAACAGAAATGGAATACAGGGATCACAGCAGAAATAAATACATATTCAAATATATAGACTAATGTGATCTAATTAAAATATATGAAAATATAGAAGACCTAATTATGTGGAAAAGGTTTTATTGAAATAACAGTAGTAGTTCCATAAAGCAGTGGTATTCAACCTGGGGTACGTGTACCCCTGGGGGTACGCGAAGACATCTTAGGGGGTACATGAAATTAAAAAAAATATATATTATTTTATGATAAACACTGAATAATCAGTAATGTAATTTATTTAATTTATTTTAGATGTAGATTATATACTATGTATAACTTGAATTATACACCAACAACTTTGGGGGTAAAAAGTTGAAAAGAAATTATATCTGGGGGTACGCGAAGACATCTTAGGGGGTACATGAAATTAAAAAAAATATATATTATTTTATGATAAACACTGAATAATCAGTAATGTAATTTATTTAATTTATTTTAGATGTAGATTATATACTATGTATAACTTGAATTATACACCAACAACTTTGGGGGTAAAAAGTTGAAAAGAAATTATATCTGGGGGTACGCGAACAAAAAAGGTTGAATACCACTTCCACAAAGAACACAACTGAATTCACTGATAATTTTTCAACTTTAAACAAGCATATGACAATTCAATAAACAATTTTACAGGAAACTAACATTTTATAAAGTACCTATTAAATTTATCTTACCAATCAAAGTGTTAAGTAACAACACCGATGCAGTAGTAAAATGATCTTAAATTTCACAATATAACAAATAATAACACTGATGACCATATAAGAGAAATATGTACAAATGCAGCAATGCAACATTACCTGGACACATATCTGAAGGTTTTGCCTAATGTTTGCTGTCAGCATGGCTTTCAGACACTCGAGTGAGTCCTCCACTGACAGAGTTCCAAAATAACCAACCAACCATTCAGGATTCAGTAGGTGAGTATGAACTACAGCACGCTTGATGTCATACAGATCTGCAAAATGTCACAAATAAATTAACATGTACTACATTTAGGAGCACTGTACCAACACAAACCACTATTAACAAAGGTTCTCTTGAGTAAGGGGAAAAAGAAGGAATTTTCAAGCAAAGAGTGATCAGAAGGGGATTGGAAAAAGGAATGTACACCCCCATGAATGGGAAACAAAGAATTAACCATATACTGCTGTGCTGCCCAGAAACCAAAAGAATTCAGTAAAAAAAGGTGGATATGTATAAATGAGGAATTATCTTATATGAAAATAAAATGCACAAATAAAACATTTATGGGAAAAGCAGCGTGAGAAAATGCAATAGATAATATTTGCCTCTTACTAAATGTGAAATAATAGTGTGCATATGGAAGAGAGTCAGTACAATGAAAAACCAGGAGTTAAATGGTGTTTTGTCTCGCAATACCTTGTATCTGTGAACAAACTTAACTCAAAATAAACTGACAAAAGAAATATTCTTTACACTACTCCTTGTGCACAAAATGTACACCACTGATCTTCCTCCTATTGATTTATTTTGACAGTACTTAGGCATGTATCTTCCACCCCTGTCGTACCTGTGTAGTGTTCCAAAGCTCTCTGCAGAAGTCCTGCCTTCTCACACAGCTGAGCAACATGGGCACGGTCATAATGAGTGAACATCTGATTTCCAAGTATGGCATCTGCTACCTGAGGTGCTGACATCAAATTCATTTCAAGAAGTCTTGTCTGGAGCGGACCTTCTGATGGACGGTTATTCTTTAAGGCATCCAGCAAGAATGCTGTGCACTGCTGGACCATGTTCTGCTCCATGAAGATGTCAACAATCTGTAACATGCACAAGACGCATCACACAACAGTATTTGCAGTATCACACTTGACACTTTGTTTTGTCTGTTATCTCGATCTGAAACCTTAAAGTAGTGTATCCTTTAATACCATAATAATGTAAGGGGAATTCTGAATGCACTATATGACTGAAAACTTTACTCGGCATATTAATCTTTAGCTGCTGGAAGCAAAATCTTTCTGGCAGTATGAAACTGTCTTCTGGAATGTTGTAACTAATAATTTTTTTTAACATAGAAAACATTTTTTAACCTGCACTTTCCTGCCATCTACTATTTATTTTTATCATCTCATTACACCAACTTTCTGTACATATGATGGGTCAAAACACATCTCTTGCCTATATACCATGTATTTACTTCATTATTACCATTAGATAAATACAAAGGAGTGCAAAAAAAAAAAAACTTCTGCAACTGTTCCAATAAACAATTTAATGTCACATTAAACAGGGGAAACAGTCTGGGTATAACAAAAATTTTAACATCCAGATAGTTCTCTAATACTGGAAGCTTTTCACCCATGGCATTATGGCTGATATTCTGATATAAGCAATATTATGCAGCTATCTACTCTGAATAAAAAAAAATCAAGCTTGTCTGTGTGCTTTCAAGTGATCTCATACTACAGGAATCATCACAGTCCGTCAGTGTGTGAACAGCCGTAAGTATATGATATAATCATAGATCCTTGAGCAGGTTCTTAAGTGATTTAACATAAAATAATTTCACTTGCTTCGGGTTGTAAGAGTTGAAAATATTTACTCAGACAGAGATTAATCAATTCATCTTGTATTAACTATACTATCAGCAAAGAACGATGCTGCCAAGCATATGCAAACAGCAATAAAACTGACAAAGCAGAAATTTGTTGTATTTCTGTCACTTCATTTATTCAAACATATTTTCATTATGTAACTTATGACTAGCCTCTGACCTGGTTGATATCAGCAAGAGGCTCGTCATCCTGAACCAACATCTGAGCAAATGCAACGCCTTGGTCAGGATTCACTCGCATCACATTACGTAGAAGGAAGACATAATCTGGTGTGTACCCCACTTTCTTAGCATATAAAACAATCTTCTGGAACTGACCTGTCTCTGCAAAACATTGAATAACCTGAAAAAAGAGACAGAACAAGAGTAGAGCTAAAATTTACAATCATTTGCAAGGTATTATTTCGGAAAACTCGTCAAAGCTGTACAAAATTTGAGGTTCTCCCAGCAAAGACATCAAAGCTTATCTTCTGGCTGTTACTGCTGTATGCACTTGTAGGTAGTTAAAGACATTTCATAGGAACATACCACAACCATCCTTTTCCTACTGGTCTGTAAAACATCACAATCCAGAAGACCAACATTGAAACACGTAAAAGTTTATCGAAAGCAAAGTACATAAATTTACCTTGTTTGGTACATTGGCTCGAAGATATACAGACAGCGCTAACGTTGGATCAGCTTGTTTTACTAGATCTCCCAATTCTTCTGAACATTCTAATTTATCTTCTTTGAGCCATTTTTCAAGCAACTGTTTCCGACCCTGCTGCAAAACTGGTCGGCATAGTTCCAGGGATTCATACTTATTCAACTGACCCTGTAAACACAATTTATAAAATAAATATTATCCAAACACATAACTGAGAAGATATGTATCTACTTCATTTCAGAACATATGGTAGCTATGAGCATCTAGCATTTCAAAATAAATTTGTGTTGCCTTAGGGGTTGTTACTTCCACCTGCATGAAACCAAATTTCCTGTCAGTTTTCCCACACTGGACTGTTAGGCAATTACATTTCTTTCATACAATGGTAGAGAAATCAATTCAACAGTTCAAATGTTCAGATAAAAATTAAAATTTGCTTCTATAACTTATACACATAGTTTTACAGTTATCGAACTAACAGCGAAAAACATCATGGAGACACACTACTACTCATTCAAGTCACCTTGATGTCTCGATAAATAAATGTTTTATGATCAGACATACAAAAACTATAAAATTAAGTAATAGATTCCAGCTTACAACCAAGGATTTTAGAAAATTATACTGGAGATTTTGTATCCTTCGGAGGCATGTCACCAGAGACTAATATTAAACAATGACTCCTTTGCTACTACAGTTTGCTATTAGACAAGCAGATAAGAATGATTAAGGTTCACTGGTACCTGATCCAACAATATTCCAAAATACTGCAACAGAGGTGATGTTTGTCCCTGAGGTGTCGGAACTTGTTGGAACCTCTGAATTGTCTGGGGGGTACGCAGGATACCTTTTGGTGCATTTGCTGCTACCTGAAACAAAATAATGAACATTTAAAATAACATACACAGATACAAACAACTACAGGATTTATTAGTTTTACATCTAAATATTTAAAAATTCTTTAATATACATTTCATAATACAACTTTGGTACATCTCATACCTTTGCTGCTTCAGCATATTGGCCATTCTGGAAAAGCAAGTTGAACTTCCGCACAAACAAATCTTCGGCACCTGCCAAGTTGTTCCTCACAGCCATACGAAGTGCCAGATCAGGGTTCTGAAGAACACTATTAACATAGGGGATGATGTTATCTTCCTCCACACTCACTGATAAAACCTGTCCCTTCCGGTTGACACCAATAATCCCTCCTGATGCCTCATGTGGTGCAGTTACAAAGATGGTGTCTCCACTGATACGGTTCATATAGATGCACGTAGCAGATTCTATGTCATACAGGTGAATGTAGCCATACTTTGTGATGAGATAAATCACATCATATTTGGCGCTCACCTGATTGAGAGTAAGAAAAAATGGATAAAATTATCACAGAAATGTATTAACAAAATTATTTTTGCGAATACAATGTATGTCAGCCAATATATGTATTTTATGTCAATGTTTCCCACATTTAAAGTGTGCCAAAACAAAAGTTGCAAGTAAGATCACAAGTCAGCTCTGAAAGAAAACAGAAGACAAGGCAAGACAATACGGAAAACAGCAGACATGGTAGTATTGTGGGAAATGTTTTCTTCCTGCAAATTATCTGAATACCACGAGTAATTCTACAAATGTTGTTGCTCACTGTACACCACGTTCAACATCCCTTTCTTTTACCAATGCTTCATTGGTGGTCTGAAGAGATAAAGCCTGAGGGTGCAAGGTCCGGCCTGTATGGCTGATGGGCAAGACATTCCCAACAAAACTGTTCCAGGTCTTACTATATGACATGGGAATGGCCACTGTTGTAAATAAATATCTTTATAAATATGCAGTATGCTGGAAAAATTATGGCATTCTTGGGCATGCAAAGCATCTTCTCCTTCAGACCACACCACTACCGTACAGCTATCTGGATGAAACACCCTAACGTGCTTACATAGACAGTGGTTCTTTTGCCATGATAGCGCCCAATCTGATACACCCTGTATTCCGACTCCCAAGGCAGTTATACATTTACACTGCTCTTTTAAGCTTCACTAACCTGCATAGCCACAGGAAAATCATTCTGTGCCTCAGGTGGAAAGAAAACATCAACAGCTTTCTTGGCAAAAGGTTGATTTCCAGCTGGAGGCTGTCCCACTTCAATGATGTGAAGCTGTGACAATAACAAAAAATGGATGTATAAATAATGTAGATAACATTATACTAATGCAGAACTTGAATCAAACAGGCCACTAATACCAATAAAAAACTTATATTATCCATGTCAAAGAACATGTTTTGATCTTGCAAGATAAATACTGTTTTACTCTGGAAAACTTTCTTTGTTTTACGCTTAATATGTACAATGTATTTTTCTTTCCTAAGGATCAAAAATCTTAAAACCTTAAAAATCACTACAACAGTCTATCAGAACAACAGAACATTGATCTCCTCCTTCTTATCACTGAAGATAAAGAAAGGCCCATCTTTTTGTTTTAGTTACCTAAGTACTGTCAAATTCAACTGAAGTGTAACAAGTACAGACGTCACTTCCAACATGTTACACCTGAATCTGAGAACTGACAGTGTCCCTGGGCAGTAGTACAAGCAATTAAAATTACAAATACAACTAATTAAAATTATGAAATTCAAATAAGAAATCAAATTAGAACATATGTATGCATTCAACACAGTTTCACACATTTTTCAGAATTCACATGTAAACCATAGATTACCTTTCCACCCTGTACTGTTCGAACTGCGAAGCAGAAAAGAGTAGATTGTTCTGCATTTCCTTCCATTTTGAACTGTGCAAATGATGCTGCATGACCTTCTATGGGTTGCGAGCATTTCCGCTCAACCGAGTACAGTTGCATTGCTCCCACCACACGATTTTGCTGAACAAAAGTTTTAGTAAATCAGGCAAACAAAGTATAATGAAATTTAATTCTTTCCACATATCCACCTTTCATTCTACAATATTTTTACAATACATCTAATAGATACTAGTATTACTACATATGTATTAACCTTCACATTGCTTTAAGGAGCAAATACCTGAGCTGATATTCCAATGAGAAGCAACCACGTCTGTTTTGGATCAGTTCGGTAGTTGATTATTTGACAGCCATTAAGGCTGGAATGACGATCAAACATTTTCTGTGGGACTGAATCGCCTGTGGATGACAAAATGGTTTCATGTCAAACAAGTAATGCATTCCTAACCATGGACAAAAACAACCAGAATGCGTAACAATTCTACCACAATCTATTCATGAATAACAGTCAACACATTTTGTAAAAATCAACAGTTTGTTAAACATGGAATGGATGATAACATGTGCATGTTTCTGCCTGGTCAGTAAATTTGCATTCCAAGGTTCTTACCTTCCATACTCCAGTGAAAAACTGAGGATTCTGTAACCAAGGCAAGAGTGTTCAGGGAAATCCACTTCCAAAAAATAACATCTTCTGCCATTGTATGAGCTTTCATCTTGCTCTTCATTTCAATGTTGAATATTTGTAATGTTTTCTGGGCTGTTAAAATACAAAAAAAAATTAGCAACTGTAAATAATGTGTTGAAACACAACCATGAAAACAAGAGAAACAATATGGGCTCACAGTTCATTTCAAGAACTTGGCTAAATGTGTCTTGTTGTCTACCAACTTTCTCTGCTAGAAACTTTTATATGGTACAAATCTGCAACTTAAAAAGCAACCTCAAGAATTAAGCCAGTGTCTTTATTTAATGTGTAGGTGTTTTTGTATAAATTCTTACATAATACTTTATAACAGTGCATCAAACATCACTACTAACATGTCATAAAACCAGTGTTACAAGTTGAAACCTGAGTATGGTAACAAAAAAAAATCATTATTTTGATGCTAATTGTACTGACATTTCATAGTAATAATTCCATGACGTCTCCAATGTATCTTACAAATTATTATAACAGGTTACCACCCTGAAATAAATAGTGACATGATATATATGGCAATAAATTACCAATATGATCACAAAAGTTTCATGCAAAAATCCTCATCAGACACCAAATCGGATCACAAGAACTGTCAATACCATCACAATGACATGATCAACTAAGTTGGCTTAACTGTTCATTAACTACAGATGAAACTTTATAAGTGGTATGATGTTTACTTTTACACGGGTACCAATAATTATAAAAAAATCCCAACAGCGAGTATGGTTACATATGATTTGTTTGAATAATGGTAATAGGCAATAGTTTCCAACATTTCATTTCTGCGCATCACAGGGACAACTTGGTAACACAAATAAACCGTATCCAGTCCTAAGTGTAATCCACCATTGTCAGAACCTTTAGAGTTGAATTGTATCCAGTCCTGTTAAGCAAAGCACTCATTAACACATACTCTACACTGACAGAGTGACAATAACTTCAATTAACAATAAATATAGAAGCTTTATAAGCTGAACATCAGTTTACCACAGACAATTACCACACACACACTGAAAAAAATTAAAAATTACTATAATATTGAAATACCCCATATACATATATCACATGTCGAGTTGGGAACCATTAGGATCACCTTAAACTATAGCTACCTTCAACTCCTGCCTTGCCCTTGAGGGCAATGACCTTGCTGGCTGGATTCATAATGGCAGAATCTGCAGAAATAGGTCGTCGAATGGGGTTAGTTGGGTCAGCCATGTCAATGATTACCACTTGTGATGTATCTCCCACCTTCTCTTTTACACATATGAATTTGTCCGACTCCATTGTAAGCGTGTTGAAGCTCACACTTGCTTGGTTGATACCTACATTTGTGAGCTAAAATCACAAAAAGAAAAATGTGATGAGACACTTGTGAAGAACTGGGGGAGGGGGTGATCTAAGGTGAAAAGCTCAGAAAGGTAACAGTGAGATGACAATAATTCAAAGTAATTTTGAAATTGTTAAAATTCACAAGAAAGCTCGCACTATAATATCAGAACCTTGAAGTTAAAGATGGGTTACAAATGTCACCATGCGGATGACCTGCGTTATATACGTAACCAATGATTTCTCTATATGGAATCTTACAATTCACATTTGTCATGAAGAATCTTTAATACTTTTGATTAAAATTTTTTAATCGTCTCACTTAGAGACTTGATGTTCCCTTGCCCATGATGAATTTTAGTTGGTGTTCTACCACAGGCACTCAAGATGTTAAGACATGGGGCTACCTACATGGAAATATATGCCTGACAGCATCAACACACGGACAAGGGAACATCCATATCTATTGTTGCATGCAGACTTGCACTCTACTCCTAACCAGTGTTACAATGTACCACTTTCTTGCTGAAAATATCAACTTCCGTCACATATGGACATCCCTCAACATCAAAAAGTCACACAAGATCCAAACATGCAGGAGGTATGCCCCCCGTCTATTGCTTTATTGCAACCTTATTAACAGCAACCTGTCAATCAAAACTACATAAAATGCGTTCTACCAAAAGTCGTTAAAAGTTACCTCGTCTCTGTTGTATGAATACAAACACCTTCTAAATATTCATTTAAGAGACAAACAAGATGGAATCATGGGAAAAATCAGGCGCTGATCTATCAGGGTAAAGATCAGTCTAAAAATCAAGGATTTCAACTGAAACCAATGACTACATACATAAATCATTGATAAAAGTGAAGATGATCATCACAACAGGCACTAAAACGTTATTCTATCACTGATTTCTGGGGAATTTGTAAACAATGTTATATAAAACTGATGATTTAACCCCTCAAATTCTAAAATAGAATACGTTCACACAAAAGCCGGTATCACGGTCTAGGGACGAAGATCACGCTCCAGGTACATCAGCGCAATGACCTCTTGAAGCACGGTTCTGCCATACGCAGTGATCTGACGAAACAGGAACCCGTGAAGAAGAAATGATTATCACCCCCCACCCACCCAAATCCTTAGATCACGGCCTGTGAACCTCATATCAGTCAGTTTTATATCCAGTTCAAGTTTGAAACAATCTTTATTTGGAATATATCATTTCCTAGAGAGAAATGTGCTGAAATTAAAAACTGATTACCGCGGTAGCGGAATGAATACCCGCAAATACACTGCGGAGACCACGTAGATACTCAACGCAGGCACTCCGGAGGTAGGCACTTCACGCGTGCCCGCGATGTCTTAACATTCTTATTAACCATTTTTTTCGTACTAAATAATAACAAAAACTTTAAAAAATCGCAAATGATACAAATACCAATAAATGAGCCTGAAGTATGCAATCTTACTTTCTTATGCCACAATTTTGTTCCATTTAACAGAATACGATCCAAAAAACGATGAAAAACGCTGGCCCGGAAAATAGTAATTTACCCAACTCACTTTGTAATACGAAAACTGCCTAAACTTGCACACATTAATAAAAAAACTGGACATGACAGTGCAACCCGCGAACACAAAATTTAGTGACGAAGTGGTCCACTTGTGATAAAGTTAGGAGACCCATGTTCTGGTGCACTACCCTGGCTGGACGATAATTCTCAGACATCGAAGAACTACTCATAGACAGCAACTGTATTTGCTGGTTTCTGTTTCTTTGGCGTTTCGAACGGGAGGTTGGTTGTTAATGGTATTAAGGGAGGGAGAACGGAACCAAAGGGAAAAAAACCTATCTCTGGGACAAAAGTCCAAACCGTGACCTTACAAATACGAAGGTTTACTAACGAGCTGAACGTTCGAGGCTATTTTCCTATGTTACAATTAACGTCTTAAAAAGACACAGAAATATGTCTCCCCCTCTCTTTTCACTTTAAAACAAAATGTAGTGATTTTTGGTGGGTCATAAGATTCTTAATACTTAAAATAACACAATTTATAAGCCAAAAACAAATAACGACGTAACATCGTACCATCGTCAAAGACATTAAAAGAACCATACGTTAGTACGAACATATTCGCGACATTACGATACGTGACTCTCGACATCAATAGCCAACGAAAGTTCAACGTTTCTACATTCTTACCTCAGCCCAATGCAAAGGCGGAGGTTAGGTGATACTGTAGACGCTTTGCCCCACATAGCAACGACGAGGTCAAAATCGATACCCCACCCTTTGAACACACTGTACCAAGTAGTGGGTCCTCTACAGAACGAACTCAACATAACCCTGGCATCGATTCAGGCTTATAAAGTGAAAGCACCATCTTGAACTTCCGCAAAAACAGAAAAATCTGTACGGGTTTTCCTCGCCAGGACATAACGTGTTACCTATTTCGCCGACATGACACCAGAGAGCACAGCAAATAGCTTTCTTCTCATTCACAACACAATCTAATTCAGTGATTCACGATAACAAGTTAAATTGTATTACCTACGCAAAATGGCGTTAACTGGAACCGTTCCAAATAAAATCCCAACAGCATTATTTAAACTTACTTTAATACCAAAGCTCAAGTACTCTCGGCTATTCGTCCATGACAAGTAGAAAACTGTGGTTACATCTTTCAGAACTTATAAGCACTGTCTCGCTAAACAAGTATTTGGGGGAGTATAATTAATTACGCACATTAACAGAAGAGCCCGAGAAATTAAGTTCACCGTAAGATTAAAGGAGTTATAAGACTTTTAATGAAGAGGATGAAATTGCCAAAGTGGATTCTACAAACCATGGATTTGGAGGAATGAAATACTTAGTGGAATTTACAATCCTAAAACGACTTACAATCACCTTTAATACATATACATACATGCCACTGAGCAGTACAAAAACGGGGACACTTAATTCAAAATATAGTAACAAGTCTTCTGAAGTCATAAAAATATCGGATGTAAGTAATTTTGTTCTATTCAAAACTACAAATACGAAAGTTCTGGAGACTAGACATAATTATACACACGACAGATAGGATTTGAGGTTTTCAAGGCGATGAGTCAGAAGATTGCTGTCTTCTGGGTTGTAGTGCAGTGTAGTCTGGTAGAAATTTACAGATGTTCGAGAGGTGCTTACTTACTACCTCTTACCATCGGGGTAATCTCACTGAAAGATCGGTCACTGTCTACCAGACTACACAATGCAAAGGCCATGAAGACAGTCATCTTCGTTACGATCATGACCCCTCCCCC